TGAACTATGAAAGAGTTGGGTACAAATATGAAACCCTAAAGTGGGCTGTACCCCATATTGGCTACCCCACTACAGCCTAAACATATATAGCAGATATAACATTTGACACCGCTGCCCTCCAGGATGCAATGGTCACTACCACCACTCCTGGGGGTCAGCGTGTGTCGATCAGCACGTGTACACGGATGGGTCGTCACCTAGCCATGTTCACTCGTCGGCCAGGGTCGAGTCAGTACACACTCGCTACCGAGCCTCCTCAGGTAGCTGCGTCTGCTCAGGTGTCCGCGTCAGGTCAGGTAGCACCCCCTTGCTCGTGTCGCCTCCTGTCGCACCAGACTCTTCTGTGGCACCACCGCTTGGGTCACCCCTCCCTGCCGCGCCTTCGTGGCATGCACTCCCGTCTCCTTGTCTCTGGTCTTCCCAGGTCTCTGCCTCCCCTCTCGCCCTCGCCTGCCCCGCCCTGCCTTCCTTGCGTCGAGGGGCGGCAGCGCGCCGCTCCTCACTCCTCCTCGTTTCCCCCGTCGACTGCTCCCCTGCAGACTCTCCACATGGACGTGTGGGGCCCAGCCCGCGTCAGTGGACAGGGCCGCGAGCGCTACTTTCTGCTGGTCGTTGACGACTACACGCGGTACACCACGGTCTTCCCCTTGCGCAGCAAGGGTCAGATCGTTGATGTCTTGATCCCTTGGATCCGCGCAGTCCGTCTCCAGATCCGCGAGCGGTTCCGTGCGGACCTTCCTATCCTGCGTCTGCACTCTGACAGAGGTGCTGAGTTCTCCTCCGACCTCCTGCAAGACCTTTGTCGTGGGGAGGGCATGCTCCAGTCGTTCACGCTTCGAGACTCTTCTCAGCAAAATGGGATTGCTGAGCGCCGCATTGGCTTAGTCATGTGGCTGCTCCCCATTTTCTGTGGTCGTTTGCGGTCTGGTATGCTGCGCATCAGCTCAACCTCTGGCCCCGTGTCTCCTTGCCGGAGACCTCGCCCACACTGTGTTGGACGGGGAAGGTTGACGATGCGTCGGTGTTCCGGGTCTGGGGTTCTCGTGCCTTTGTCCGCGATACGTCCGCGGACAAGCTCTCCGCCCGCTCCATTCCTTGCGTCTTCCTTGGCTTTGTCCCTGACGCGCCTGGCTGGCAATTTTACCACCCTACCTCGCGCCGTGTCCTCCCCTCTCAGGACGTCACATTTGACGAGTCGGTTCCCTTTTACCGTCTCTTCCCCTACCACTCTGCCCCTCTTCCTCCCCTGCCGCTCTACCCCCTCCCTCCTCAGTGTCCTGCTCCCTCAGGTGTCTCTCAGGTAGACCCAACCCCTGGTGCTGTGCCTGGTGAGGTAGCTGTAGACTCAGGTGCTGCTAGAGTTATTGCGTCTGGGGGTGCTGAGCCTGGGGGTGCTGAGCCTGGGGGTGCTGAGACTGGAGGTGCTGAGCCTGGGGGTGCTGAGACTGGGGGTGCTGAGCCTGGAGGTGCTGAGCCTGAGGGTGTTGAGCCTGGGGGTGCTGAGTCGGAGGGTGCGGAGTCTGGGGATGCTGAGCCTCAAGGTGATGCTTCATCTGGAGGTTCTGCTGGTGCTTCGCCAAGACTGTCTCCGCAGCAGCTGCGTGAGTGGCTTGTTCGGCGCGCATGCCTTCGGAGTGGAGCTACCGGAGCTGGAGGTGCTGGAGCCGCTGGAGCTGGAGGTGCTAGAGTTACCGCTAACGCTGGTGTTCCTAGAGGCTTTGCGGAAACTGGTCCTGGAGGTGCTCGTACCCGGGGTACTGGAGCTGCCAGGACTGGTGGTGTTTGGGGCGCCGGAGCTGGAGACCCTACAGAGTCTGGAGCTGCTGGAGCTAGAGGCTTTGGCGCTGGTGGTGCTGGAGCTGGAGGCGCTGGAGTTGGAGGCACTGGCACGGGAGGCGCTGGAGCTGGAGGTGCTGGAGGCACTGTGCGGCCGCGACCGTACTTCGTTCCCCTGCTTCAGCAGGTTCTTTGTGTCCCGTCTTCTACTCTCCTTACTCCTCCCTTACTGTGTACACCGCCTGACCAGTCGCAGCCGTCGTTACAGCCGGCCTCCCCACTACCTGCTCCCTCTCCTTACACTGAGCAGACCGGAAGTCTTACAGAGCGTCGTGAGCCTGCGTCTCGTCCTGCCTCCCCTGTTCGCACTGCTCGTCGCGTTCCTCGTCCGCGTCCTCCTCCTGTCCCGGGCACACACACTATGACACTTCGTGCTTCCTCTGTTCCACTGCGAGTTCCTTTGCCTGCTCCTCCTGAGTCCTCTCTTCCTGAGGTCCCTGACCCTGAGTCTGACCGCGCTCGTGCTACCAGTCCCACTGTCTCTCGTCTCCTCGCCACTGCTGTCACTGACCCTTCCTTTGAGTCTGCTGCTGCGTCTGCCCTCGTTGCTGAGTTGCTTGACTTTGCTGCCGCCTGTCGCCTAGACTACGCCACTGCTCTTGTTTCTGAGTCTGCGTCTGCAAGTCCTCCGTCCGTCGGGGGTGAGTGTGCTCTTGGTACGGACGTCCTTGAGGACAGGCAGGAGGACTTTGTGTGTCTTCTAGCTGCTCTACCTCGCTTCGCTTCCATGCTGGTTGCCCCTGAGGGAGACCCGGATGTACCAGACATCCCGACCCCGCGCTCTTACCCAGAGGCGATTACGGGTCCTTACTCCTCTCAGTGGCAGGTAGCCATGGATGCCGAGATGGCATCCTGGAAGTCCACATGCACCTACGTCGACGAGGTTCCCCCACCTGGGGCGAACATAGTCGATGGCATGTGGATTTTCAGGGTGAAGCGGCCGCCGGGTTCTCCGCCTGCCTTCAAGGCGCGTTACGTTGCTCGAGGCTTCAGTCAGCGATAGGGAGTTGACTAGTTCCAGACCTTCTCCCCCACCCCGAAGATGACCACTCTTCGGGTGTTGTTGCACGTCGCTGCTCAGTGTGACTACGAGTTGCACTCTCTGGACTTCAGCACAGCTTTCCTGCAGGGCAGCCTGCACGGGGAGATCTGGCTGCGCCGCCCACCTGGCTTCACTGGGTCGTTTCATGCAGGGACCCAGTGGAACCTCCGCCGGCCAGTCTACGGTCTCCGCCAGGCGCCTCGTGAGTGGCACGACTCACTGATGACTACACTTGCGGCTCTTGGGTTTGCTCCTTCTACTGCTGACCCGTCACTGTTTCTACGCACCGACACCTCGTTGCTGCCGTTCTACGTCCTCGTGTACGTCGACGACCTCGTCTTTGCCACTGCTGACACAGAGGCACTGACCCTTGTGAAGTCGTAGCTGCAGAAGAGACACACCTGCACTGACTTGGGTGAACTGCGCAGCTATCTTGGCTTGCAGATCACCCGGGACAGAGCACGGCACACCATCACCCTGACTCAATCACACATGGTGCACCAGGTCCTTCAGCGCTTCGGCTTCCAGTTTTCCTCGCCACAGCCCACTCCTCTGTCTACCAGCCACTCGCTCTCAGCTCCACCTTCGGACGAGTCCGTAGAGCCGAGTGGTCCGTACCCAGAGCTTGTGGGTTGCCTCATGTACCTGATGACGTGCACACGACCTGACCTCGCGTACCCTCTCAGCCTTCTGGCTCGCTACGTGGCTCCCGGTAGGCACCGAAAGGTGCACTGGGATGTTGCGAAGAGGGTACTGCATTACTTGTGCAGTACGTCGGGCATGGGGCTCGTGCTTGGAGGACGGGGTCCAGTTGTCCTCACTGGTCACGCAGACTCTTCTTGGGTTGACGACTCAGCTACGCAGTGGTCGTCATAGGGTTACACCTTCAGCCTTGGCTCCAGCTCTATTTCCTGGCGGTCTACCTGCTCGTCTTTGGTTCTCAGCTCTAGTTGTGAGGCTGAGATCTACGCAGAGGCCATGGCTGCACAGGAGCTACGCTGGCTCACCTACCTGCTGACTGACTTAGGAGAGCAGCCTCGTTCGCCTCCAGTTCTGTACGTAGACAACAAGGCCATGATTGCCTTGTGTCAGGAGCACAGACTGGAGCACAGAACAAAGCACATTGCTCACCGCCCGTGCTTCGCATCGCATATCCTCACCGTCCATTTGAGCTCGTCACCGACGCAAGTGACATTGATGTGGGAGCAGTACTGTTGCAGGACTTCGGGAACGGCCTTCAGCCAATTGCGTACGAGTCCTGCAGACTTCACCCGCCCGAACACAACTACCCGATACACGACCGCGAGATTGTGGCGATCGTGCACGCGTTCAAGGTGTGGCGGTGCTACCTGACAGGAGTCGACGTGATAGTACGGACAGACCATCGTGCACTACAGTACCTTCGCGCCCAACCGAATCTCAATCCGCGGCAGATCTGCTGGTTGGACTATCTGGAATCCAACTTCCACTACACCGTTACGTACAAAAAAGGCGCATCAAATATCGCCGACGCACTCACCCGCCCTACCGCCCAACTGCACGCCATACTACTCGCCCAAACCAACCCACTGTTAACAGACCTATTGACCCACAGATATCACACCGACCCATTTTTCACGACCGGAAATTCACAGCAACCGGCAGAAGCCAAGGGAGTCTATTTCGTAAAAACAATCACCAACCGCATTTGGGTACCCGCGTACTCACTACTGAGGGAATTGTTACTGCAGGAGGCACACGACGGGGTTACCTCGGGTCACTTCGGGGTAGAAAAAACGCGACAGCAACTTGATAAGAAACGAGGAATGAAATGACTAAGGGAAAGTTGGGTACAAATGCAAACCCTAGGAAAACTGTACCCCATATGTGCTACCCCACTATAGCCTACAGTAGCTATGTCATATAAATCTGACACACCCCCATAGGCAAAGTGGGGGAGAACAAGGGGTCACAAGACCAGTCAAGCAAAGCAAAAACAAGCTCAGGGTGGATCACAAAGTCACCACACATTCCGAGCACAAGTTCAAGGCCACAAGGCCAGTTCACATGCAGGATTATATATATATATAAGGCTAGACAAGCAAGAGCAGGTGTATATACATATGCAACAGTACAAACAAGGTCAAGGGGTGAGCAAGTGAGGCAAGGTAGGCACAAGACCCAGCTGAGTACAGAAGCGCTGATGATCACAAGGCGCAAGTGCCTTGGTGAAGATATCAGCAGTGTTGGCCTCAGAGGCCACGTACGCAAGCCGCAGCTGACCACGCTGCTGTAGCTCACGAGCAAGGAAGTAGCGGAGAGCAATGTGCTTCGTTCTGTGCTCCAGTCTCTGCTCTCGACACAAGGCCAGCATGGCCTTGTTGTCTACGTACAGTACTGGAGGAGAACGAGGCGGCTCTCCGAGGTCAGTCAGCAGGTAGGTGAGCCAGCAAAGCTCCTGTGCAGCCATGGCCCCGGCGTAGATCTCAGCCTCACAACTGGAGCCGAGAACAGAAGACGAGCGGGTAGCCCGCCACGAAACAGAGCCGGAACCAAGGCTGAAGGTGTAACCCTGTGACGACCGCTGCGTAGCCTGGTCGTCAGCCCAAGAAGCGTCTGCGTGCCCAGTGAGGACCACTGGACTCTGCCCTCCAAGCACAAGCCCCATGCCCGACGTACTACACAAGTAGCGCAACACCCTCTTCGCTGCAGCCATGTGCTCCGGTCTGTGTCTCCCAGGAGCAACATAGCGTGCAAGAATGCTAAGAGGGTATGCAAGGTCAGGTCGTGTGCAGGTCATCAGGTACATGAGGCAGCCAACAAGCTCTGGGTACGGGCCACTCGACTCTACGGACTCATCCGAAGGCAGAGCTGAGAGCGAGTGGCGAGTAGACAGAGGAGTGGCCTGAGGCGAGGAGTACGTGAAGCCGAAGCGCTGAAGGACCTGCTGCACCATGTGTGACTGAGTCAGGGTAATGGTGCGGCGTGCTCTGTCCCGGGTGATCTGCAAGCCAAGGTAGCTACGCAGTTCACCCAGGTCTGTGCACGTGTGTCTCTTCTGCAGCTCGGACTTCACGTGGGCGAGTCCAGCAGTGTCAGCTGTGGCGAAGACCAAGTCGTCGACGTACACGAGGATGTAGAACGGCGGCAAAGAAGTGTCGGTGCGCAGAAACAGCGACGGGTCGGCAGTAGAGGGAGCAAACCCAAGAGCCGCAAGTGTAGTCCTCAGTGTGTCGTGCCACTCACGTGGTGCCTGGCGGAGACCGTAGACTGGCCGCCGGAGGCTCCACTGGGTGCCAGGAGGAAAGGACCCAGTGAAGCCAGGTGGGCGACGTAGCCAGATCTCCTCGTGCAGGCTGCCCTGCAAGAAAGCAGTGCTGAAGTCAAGAGAGTGCAGCTCGTAGTCGCGGTGAGCAGCTATGTGCAGCAGTACCCGAAGAGTGGTCATCTTCGGGGTGGGAGAGAAGGTCTGAAAGTAGTCAACTCCCTGCCGCTGACTGAAGCCACGAGCCACGTAACGCGCCTTGAAGACAGGCGGAGAACCCGGCGGCCGCTTCACCCTGAAAATCCACATGCCACTGACGATGTTCGCCCCAGGCGGGGGAACCTCGTCAACGTAGGTGCCTGTGGACTTCCAGGAAGCCATCTCTGCGTCCATAGCTGCCTGCCACTGAGAGGAGTAGGGACCCTCTATCGCCTCCGCGTAAGAGCGCGGAGTCGGGATGTCAAGTGCATCCAGGTCTCCCTCAGGGGTAAGCAGTACGGACACGAGATGAGGTGAAGCAGCAGCCAAACACTGGAACTCCTCCTGCCTGTCCTCAAGGACGTCCGTGCCAAGGGCACACTCACCCCCGACGGACGGAGGACAGACAGACTCAGACTCAGCAACAAGACTAGCAGCGTAGTCTAGACGACAGCGAGCAGCAAAGTCGACGAGCTCAGTAACTAGGGCAGACGCAGCAGTGGACCCAAAGGAAGGGTCTGTGACAACAGTAGCAAGGAGACGCGTGACAGTAGGACTGGCAGCACGAAGAGAGTCCGACTCCGGGTCAGGAAGAGCAGGAAGAGAGGACTCAGGAGGAGAAGGCAAAGGGGCACGCAGAGGAGCAGTGGACGGACGCAGAGACATCCGGTGCGTGCCAGGGACAGGAGGAGGACGCTGACGCGAACCACGACCACTAGTACGAGCAGCACGGACAGGCGACGCAGGGCGAGACGCAGGCTCACGACGCTCAGCAAGACCTCCAGTAGGACCAGTGTAGGGAGAAGGAGCGGGCAGTGGGGAGGCCGGCTGTAACTGTAACTGTGACGGGAGAGGCTGTGGACACTCTAAGGGAGGAGGAGGACCAGTAGAAGACGGGAGACCAAGAACCTGCTGAAGGAGCGGAACGAAGTACGGCCTAGGCCGCGCGGCGACTCCAGACACAGCAGGGACAGCACCAGTACCCCCAGCGGCAGCACCAGCGCCAGCAGCACCTCCAGCTCCAGTACCTCCAGCAGCACCATTAGCACCCCCAGCAGGACCGCCTCCAGGACCGACAGCAGTAGCCTCAGCGCCAACACCCTCAGCAGCTCCAGCTCCAGTCGTACCCGCAGGCCCAGCAGCTCCAGTACTCCCAGTACGAGCACCTCCGGGACCCGCGGCACCAGCACCCTCAGCAGCCGACGAACCTCCAGCGCCAGCAGCACGCCTCCAGCGCCGGGCAAACCACTCGCGCAGCTCCTGTGGAGAGAGTGGCTCCCGCCGAGACGAAGCACCCGGAGAACCTCCAGGCTCAGCACCGCCAGACGCCACACGAGCAGGCCCAGCTCCCTCAGGCTCCGCACCCCCAAGCTCAGCACCTCCAGGCGTGGCACCCCCAGGCTCAGCACCCCCAGGCGTAGCACCCCCAGGCTCAGCACCCCCAGGCTCAGCACCCCCAGTAGTAGCACCCCCAGGCTCAGCACCCCCAGGCTCAGGACCCCCAGTAGTAGCACCCTCAGGCTCAGCACCCCCAGGCGTAGCACCCACACGCTCAGCACCCCCAGAGTCAGCACCCCCTGGCTCAGCACCCTCAGCAGCACCAGAGTCACCAGTAACCTCGACAGGCTCGACTGCGTCTACCTGGGACACACCTGAAAGGGCAGGACCCTGAGGGGGGAGGGGGTCTACCGGGGGGGGACCTGGTACAAGGAAGAGCGGTGGCGGGGGGAGGGACGGAGTGCGGTAGGGGAAGAGGCGGTAGTAGGGGACCGACTCGTCAAACGTGACGTCCTGGGAGGACAGAACACGGCGAGAGGTGGGGTGGTAGAACTGCCACCCTGGCGCGTCAGGGGGGAAGCCAAGGAAGACGCAAGGAGCAGCACGAGGGGACAGCTTGTCCGCAGACAAGTCGCGGACAAACGCCCGAGATCCCCAGACACGGAACGCAGACGCATCGCCAACCTTCCCCGTCCACAGCAAGGCTGGGGAGGTCTCCGGCATGGAGACCCTGGGGTGAAAGTTGATCTGATGCGCCGCGTACCGAACCGCAAACGGCCACAGAAAATGGGGGGCAGCCGCATGCATCATGGACGTACGGGCGACGTCCATGACCATGCCAATGCGGCGCTCAGCAATCCCATTTTGCTGTGGAGAGTCCGGAAGCGTGAAGGTCTGGCGGATGCCTCGTGCACGACAGTAGGCTCGCAGAAGGCCAGAGGAGAACTCTCCGCCTCTGTCAGAGTGCAGACGCAGAACAGGAAAGTCCGAGCCGAAGCTCCGCCTGAGCTGGAGACGAGCTGCGCGGATCCAGTCGATCAACACCTCAGTGACATCACCCTTGCTGCGCAAGGGGAAGACTGTGGTGTAACGCGAGTAGTCGTCAACCACCAGCAGGAAGTAGCGCTCGTGACCCTGTCCACGGACGCGGGCCGGGCCCCACACGTCCATGTGAAGCGTCTGCAGCGGGGCCTCTGTCGGAGGAAACTGGGAGGAGTGAGGGGCAGCCCGCTGCCGCCCCTCGACACAGGGGACGCAGGTAGGGCCAGGCCCCGGAGGAAGGGGAGGGAGGGACCGGGGAAGAACAGAGACAAGGACACGGGAGGCCATGCCTCGGAGACGAAGCAGGGAGGGGTGACCAAGGCGGTGGTGCCAGAGGAGAGTCTCGTGAGACAGGAGGCGACACGAACAGGGGGCAGACTCAGGACCAGACCTGGACGCTGCAGCAAACACCTGACCCGACGCAGCTACCTGACCAGACGCAGTGACTGGAGGAGACGCAGTGGTCAGGGTGTACAGGCTCGACCCCGGCCGACGGGTAAACGTGGCCAGGTGTCGGCCAGTCCGAGCGTCCGTGCAGTGGGTCACCCGCTGACTCGCAGGAGTGAACTGGTGAACCCCCGCATCCTGTAGGTCAGCACCACTCACCAAGTTCGTAGAGAACGAGGGGAGGTAAAGACCAGACAGGGTGCCAGAGGGGGCCGCCGGACACGGGAGGACAGTGGAGAAGTGAGCAAGGACAGGACCCCCAGAGGGGTCTGCCAGAGAGACCGCAACTGGCCGGCCAAGTGGCGTGAGTGTGGTGCGGTCTCGAAAGAAGGAGCGAGAAGCCCCCGAGTCAAGGGTGAAGGTGTGGGAGGCCGAAGCCGACGCAGAACCTGAGAGAGCAGACTCACCAGCACCTGAGGGAGCAGACGCACCTAGAGCAGCAGCCTCGCTAGCACCTAGAGCAGCAGCCTCACCAGTACCTAGAGCAGCAGTCTCAATGCCCGGGTCGGGCGGAAAACACCGGTAACAGTCACCCTCATCACTAATAGTCACAGTATACATGGCAGCAAGAATAGCATCAAAGTCAAGGTCAAAGACAGCGACACCCGCCCTAGACAGCTCACCCCAGCGGGGGATCTCAGTGGCCTCAGGGAACTGGTGTCGCCAAGCGTCCGTCAGGCGACCAAAGCAGCGCTGGGTGGAGTGCGCACCCCCGCACTGCTCACCCGCGCGGTCGCCGGTGCGTAGGACGTAGGTGCACGGACCAGTACCCCCACCCCGCTGGCGTGCAGCGTACCACTCACGGAGCTGCTGAGGGGGGGGGATGTCACGAGTGCGCTGCTGCTGCTGCTGCTGCTGCTGCTGCTACTGGCGCTGACCACCACCGGAGCCGACCCTCTGCGCAGCGCCACCCCGACCAGCTCCACCTCCTCCGCCGACGCCTCCTCCACCGCCGCCACCTCCGCTCCCACCGCCACCGCCGCCGCCGCCTCCGCCTCCACCGCCGCCACCGACACCTCCACCCCCACCACCACCCCCACTGCCACCCCCACCCCCTCCACTGCCTCCACCGCCGCCTCCACCGCCCCCGCTAGCTCCTCCAGTGCCCCTGCCCCCTTTGCCCTTGCCAGGGCGGCGTCTCCCGCTAGGGGTAGACGCCGCACCGACCGACTCAAGCCCAACGAGGTCGGCCGCAGCAGCAGAGGCAACAGAGGGCAAAAGGGGGGAGGGGGAACACCCCTCAAAGATGGGGGTGCGAGGGTCACCACGAGAGGCTCCTACATCTACTATGCTCTTCTCTGCTGCTAGGAGGGACTTCTCGAGGAGGTCAACGGTGAGAGTGGTGGGGCAAACTGAGAGGAAGTGGTCCCTGACTACGCGAAGGGAGTCAGGGAGCCGGGTGACTATGTAGTAGAGGGTGATGTACATGGGGGGGGGGTTCTTGGCGCAGAACTCAGCAGGAAGCGCAGCGCGGTAGCGAGTGTCACTAGTGCGGAGGTGCGTAATGAGGTCAGCGACTGTGAGAAAGGCAGCAAGGTCAGGGAAGAGGTACGGTAGCATGAGGCGGCTCAGTGCAGTAGTGGCAGGGGAGGAGTAGCGCGCAACTACAGCGTCGTACAAGGTGTGAGCACTCTTGTACTGGCTAAAGTGCGCACGCTCAGAGGTAGGCAGGTGGCGACGCACAGCAAGACGTGCAGCAGCATCGCGCGTGGCCCACTGTGAGCGAACAGTGGCGTCAGCATCAGCAGCGGGGGCAGGAGAGGCACCAGAAGTGAGGTCAAAGAGGGAGAGGTCGTCTGCTCTGTCGCACTGTAAGAAAAGCTGCAGGTCATCTATCCAGACGTCAAAGTCAATGGCCCGACCCTCAGCGTCAAAAGCGAGGACACTAGGGGTAGCCATGACAGCAGTAGACTAGCAGCGCAAACAGTAGGGTGAGGGCAGTGCTGTGAAAGTGGCGCTGCTCTTACCGGACAGGGCGGCTCGGGTGGTTCGGCTGCAGGGCGGCTCGGCGGCTCGGCTGCTGGGCGGCTCGGCTGCTGGGCGGCTCGGCGGCTCGGCGGCTCGGCTGCTGGGCGGCTCGGCGGCTCGGCTTCTGGGCGGCTCGGCTGCTGGGCGGCTCGGCGGCTGGGCGGCTCGGCTGCTGGGCGGCTCGGCTGCTGGGCGGCTCGGCGGGGCCGCTGAGGGGGCGGCGTCCGGGGCCGCTGGGAGGAGGCGGCGGGGCCGCTGAGAGGAGGCGGGGGGGCCGCAAAGGTAGGTGGCGGGGCCGCAGGTAGGTGGCGGGGCCGCTAGTAGGTGGCGGGGCCGCAGGTAGGTGGCGGGGCCGCTGGTAGGTGGCGGGGCCGCAGGTAGGTGGCGGGGCCGCAGGTAGGTGGCGGGGCCGCTGGTAGGTGGCGGGGCCGCAGGTAGGTGGCGGGGCCGCAGGTAGGTGGCGGGGCCGCTGGTAGGTGGCGGGGCCGCAGGTAGGTGGCGGGGCCAGCAGGAAGGTGGCGGGGCCGCACAGGTAGGTGGCGGGGCCGCGGGTAGGTGGCGGGGCCGCTGGTAGGTGGCGGGGCCGCAGGTAGGTGGCGGGGCCGCACAGGTAGGTGGCGGGGCCGCACAGGTAGGTGGCGGGGCCGCGGAGGGCGTAAGGGGCCGCGCGAGGGGCCGTAAGGGACGGCGCGAGGGGCCGTAAGGGGCGGCACGAGGGGCCGTAAGGACGGCGCGACGGGCGCGACGGGCCGTAAGGGCGGCACGAAGGGCCGTAGGGGCGGCGCGACGAGCCGTGAGAGGGCCGCTAAGGGCGACGCGACGGGGCCGTGAGGGGCCTAGCGAGGGCGCGACGGTAGGGAGAGCACACCGGGCGCGACTCGGGCCGGAGCGAAGCGCGCTCCGGGCAGGAAAAAAAAAAAAAATCGTGATGGTGGGCCCTAGGAATCGTTCCCACTAGGGAACCTGCTCGATACCATGATAAGAAACGAGGAATGAAATGACTAAGGGAAAGTTGGGTACAAATGCAAACCCTAGGAAAACTGTACCCCATATGTGCTACCCCACTATAGCCTACAGTAGCTATGTCATATAAATCTGACACAACTGCAGCGGTATTACTACTGGCCGGAGCTGTTGACCGACGTACAGCACCACGTGGGCTCGTGTCCTACGTGTCAGGTGATGAAGAGCTCGCGAAAAAGAAAGACGGGTCAGTTGCAGCCGATTCCACCGCCCGAGCGCGCCTGGCATTAGGTTACCATGGATTTCGTCATAGGATTACCTTCGAACCCTGGGGATAACAACGCGGTAATGGTCGTCGTTGACAGACTGACGAAAATGGCTCACTTCGCTGCGTGCAGGAAGTCGATCTCAGCCCAAGAAACCGCTTGCCTGTTCATCGCAACCGTCGTTCGACTGCACGAGATACCATCCGCAATCATCAGCGACCGCGACACGAAGTTTACCAGCAACTTCTGGAAGAACCTGTCAAAATGTTATAATGCTTATATTGTGTAGGCTGTAGTGGGGGGTAGCCCACAAGGGGTACAACCCAATTAGGGTTAGTACTTGTACCCACTTTGATCTTAGTTCATTCATTCACATTCAGTTTCTTGACATGGTTTCAGAGCAGGTCCTGTTCCAGGACCGTTTTTTTTTTAGGGCCCACTGCATAGTTCCATGCCCGTAGCGCTGCCCCACTAGTCGCGCTGCCCTGCCCTGCCCGTCGCGTCGCCCTGGTGGCCGCGCGGTGCCCTGCCCTGCCCGTCGCGCCGCCTTGCTGGCCGTGCGCTGCCCTGCCCTGCCCGTCGCGCCGCCCAGCCAGCCGCGCGCCGCCCTGCCCTGCCTGTCGTGCCGCCCTGCTGGCGGCGCGCTGCCCTGCCCTGCCCGTCGCGCCGCCCTGCTGGTAGCGCGCCGCCCTCCCCTGCCCGTCGCGTTGCCCTGCTGGCCGCCGCGTCGCCCTGCCCTGCCCGCGCGCCGCCCTGCTGGCCGCCGCGCCGCCCTGCCCTGCCCGTGCGCCGCCCTGCTAGCAGCCATGCCGTCCTGCCCTGCCCATGCGCCGCCCTGCTGGCCGCTGCACCGTCCTGCCCTGCCCGCGCGCCGCCCTGCTTGCTGCCGCGCCGTCCTGCCCTGCCCGCGCGCCGCCCTGCTGGCCGTCGCGCCGCCCTGCCCTGCCTGCGCGCCGCCCTGCTGGCCGCCGCACCGCCCTGCCCTGCCCGCGCGCCGCCCTGCCCTGCCAGTTGCGCCGCCCTGCCCTGGCCGCGCGCCACTCTTCCCTAGCCGTGCGCCGCCCCACCCTGCCTTGTGCGCTTCCCTAGTGCTCGCGCGCAGCCCTGCCCGTCGCGCCGTCCTTGCCTGCGTGCTGCCCTGCTTGT